GGTTGTAATTTGAAGGGAATTTTTGTATTTATGTTTAGTACATGGGTATATGATACAAATGTATAGTATAGGGGTGTTTTTCTAGTTAACCCTGTTTATTATGTAAAGGGCTAAATACAGTTTGCACCCTTAAACTATAGGGTTGGTAACACTTACCCCCTTAAAGTTACAAATGTTACACTTACCCCCCTCATTAATGAATTTAAATGTATAACTTTGACTTTGAATGATGTGGCATTTTTTCTTCCTAAATTGTCCTTCTAGCCATTAAATAAATAATGAATATGTAATAATAAAAAATTCGACAACTTTGCCAAAACTTAATTTTATTATTTCAATATTGTAAATTTATGAATGACAAAAATTGAATTTTAGTGTATTTTTGTTTTATCTTGTGTTCATTTGTAGCTAATAAAAAGTTAATGATTATTCGAATTTTAATTATGATTTTATAGTTTATATAGTTATTTTAATGCGTATATGACTCTAATATCATCCCACTTTTTACTTTGAGAATCACAATATGCATTCAAAAGTTAATAAGAAATTATAATTTAAACGTCTAAATATTTAAATATTATTTTATTAAAATTTATATTTAAGTAACTAAAATAAATTTTTAAATCAATAATTATCATAAAAAAAATTGGCCATTTAAGTCTTGAAAATATTTTTTTTCTTGCAAATGTTTAACGTATTTAATATATTTTTTAAAATATTGAGATTTTTATTTATATTAGGGTCTATAGTAACTAAAATGTGGAGTTAAACATAAATCAAAATATTTTTTTTAATAATTATTATATTTTATAAAATTTAGTTTTTGAAATATTATTGAAAATAATTTATTATATATGCATCAATATAATAACTAGAAGGACAATTTGGGAAGAAAAAATGCCACATCATTCAAAGTCAAAGTTTTATCATTAAATTCATTAATGAGGGGGGTAAGTGTTACATTTATAACTTTAAGGGGGTAAGTGTTACCACCCCTATAGTTTAAGGGTGCAAACTTTATTTAGCCCTTATTGAAACTCGCAAATATTTGTTATAGAAAACTACATGTTAGATACTTGTAATTCATTATATAATATTTTTGAACATTATAATTCTACTATTTTCGGATGTAGCGTAATTGAAATAACGTGAGATATTGCCCTGTTTGTTGAGCTCTTAATGAGCACTGAACAGGCCTCTCCTCTTATTCGGTCAGCAATAAGTCATTTAGTGTGTTTGATGGATATATCTGAATGAAACCAATTTCCGCTGAGCGATTCAGTTTAGAAAATCTGACTTATTGATTAAGAGATACATCTGGATGGGTTTTAGACAAATCTATTTCCAAAAACTTTGAGCAGTCTTTGACCTGTTGTCTCTCTCTTTCCTTTCGGCAAACTGTGGATGGCAGAAAGGGGGCGGGACTCAAGGAGGGTAGAAGACTGTTGTGGCACAGTAAATTAAAGGATAGCTTTCAGTTTTGACTTTTCATAAGAAATTGATTTTAATTAAATTATTTTTTATTGCATAAAAAAATGGTTCTCCTAATAAAAGACCTTTGAAAGCTTATAATATTGTAATTAGATTTATAAATTTTTATTATAAAATTAGGATTATTAATAATTCAACTGGTAAATAAATTTATGGATAGGGCTAATATAGTAATATTATATCATTCAGACGCTAAAGATGTTCAATTATCAAATAAACTTACTCGTTCAGCATTCAGCATTCAGATTCATTCAGATATTTATTCAGCGTTCAACATTCAGTGCTTAATTTTATCAAACACATCAAAATCTGAATATATGAAACATAAAAGTAATGTAAGTTCTAACTTTATTGTAGCATTTTCTTGGGAACAATTCAATTGACGAGTTTATATATATATAATATTTAAATTTAGATAGTTATTAAATATTTTGAATTTATATTATTTTGAGGATAAGTGTACCCAATACAATATAAAAAAATATTTAATTAGACACGTGCAATACACGTGCATCTTTCTAATACTCCATATGTCTCATATTATATATCTTTTAGGAGTGTTTTTTTTGCCCAAATTATTTATCATTTTAAAGTTTCAATAAAGTATTAATTGCATTTTTATAATTTTGCCCCGTATCATTCTTAATTAGTTAATTAAAAAATAATTGATGACAAGGGTATTTTAATATTTACTATGTTATTTTTGGTATAATCTATGCATATTTATTGAATATCTTAATATATGCGCAACCACCCAAAACGACATATAATATAGGACATAAGAAGTATTATATAAGAGTCGATATTGGATATTTTTTAAAATATTTTGAATTTATATTATTTAAGGATAAATATGCAAAATACAATAAAAAAATTACTTAACTAGACACGTGAAATGAATGTCCAATTTATGTGCATTGTTCTAATGGTACATAAAATTCTAACAAATGCTTAAATGAAAGTTTTTACATGCATAAATAGGACAAGAATGGATTAAATAATGGGCGAATGGCAAAAAAACCCATTACATGGGACTTAAATGCATTTTGGTCCACAAAAAAAAAAAAAAAAACAGTATCTCAATTAAACCCATCCCATGTCTTTAGTCTAAAATACCCTCCATAATATAATTCTTATCAATTCCATCCATTATGCTCTAACTTCCTTAATATTACACATTGACCCCGGATTTAAACAAATATATCATATTAACCCTCAATTTTTTTTTTCAGAAAATAATTTTTTTTTCTGAAATTTTTTTTCCGGCCAGATTCCGGCGTTGACTTATTTTTTTTTTTCTTCTTTTTTTTTTGAAAACCTTTTTTTCCTGAATTTTTTTTTTCGGCCGGTCAACCACCGTTGACCGCCGTTCTCCGGCGTTGAATTTTTTTTTTCTTAGACAAAAA